AAGTCGAAATAAATACAATATTATGCAAACGGCCGTGGAGCGAGAGAGAGGCTGATCTCAAAGCCACGGCGAATCTCGGCAATCCCGAATAAATTGTCACTAAACGGGTTTTTCGTTTATGGCCGCGCGCGCCACGACCAAGGGAAAATCGAGGCCCGGAGGCATTTCTTTCTCTCGCCCTCTCGCCCGCGTGGGCGGCCGAACGCCTGCGTTCGGCCAATATCCATCTAACAACCAGCTCGTTTATGAGAGCGCCCCAATTCGTCGGCATCCTCTTCTTCTTTTCTCTTCTCCCTCGCGGCAAATCATATGCAAATCGAATCTTTGCTCGATTGAACGACGATTCGCGAGTCGCGGCGGCGACGCTGCCGATAAACAAAAGTACGACGGCCATCGCTTATCTTAATTGAAAATCAATTATAAAGCCCGAGCAGCGTGTTGAATCTGCTTGCTACAATTTAATTATACGGGATGGCAAGTTGGTGGAATCGTCGTTCTACATATAAGGCGGCTTCGCTCCTACAACGCAATAAACCCTCGCTTCGAGTACTGCAAATAAAACGATACGTATCGGATAGCTTTCGCCAGCAGCAAAACTGGACTCATCCCAAAATGTCGTGTGTGATTTTCGGCCGTTGACTCCCACGCTTTCCTTTTTGCTCCGGCCCTGCATAGGATCACGCTTAGACTATATTCGCGTACGTAACGACGATAGAGAAATAAAAAGAAAGAGAGAGAGAGAGAGAGAGAGAGAGAGAGAGAGACTATATTCGCGTACGTAACGACGATAGAGAAATAAAAAGAAAGAGAGAGAGAGAGAGAGAGAGAGAGAGAGAGAGAGAGAGAGAGAGAGAAAAAATTATACGCTTTAAATGGATAATTAAATAGCAACAGGAACTGACTGAAAGACTGACTGGGGATGATTGCTGGGTTCCGGCGCGAGCATGAGCCTCCAGGCACGAGTGAGCGGCAGAGAGAAAGAGAGAAACGGAGAGAGGTGGAAGCGGAGGAGGTTCGCCCATCCGCCCCGTACGTATCTAAACGCAGCAACGTTATAATTATTCCCCCTCCGGAGACGCTGCATGCACGCGGCCCCGAAATTCAGACGGCGAGGATGCCTCACGAAGCCATGGCCGTGACGACTGCGATTTTCGACATGCGATTTCTCCAGCGCCTAAATCGTTGTTGCCATCATTTTCATCCTCTTTTTTCCCCTCGGCTCTTGAACTTGCTCTTCAATGTCTCGCCGAGAATGGCTGACCCGAGATCGTTATTGATTCTGTAAATACTGTCAATCGATAGAGCTGCAAAGTGGTCGTAGCCATTAGAAGTGGAGCTGGAACAACGTCTCAATTCGCACAGAGGTTGACGAGCGGCTCTGGCCTCGAACTAATCAAAGCCCGGCGTTTTATCTTGTCCAGTTGTTCGAGGTTTCCACGCACGCGTGTGTCCGTGTACGCGCGTGTTTCGTACACGCAAGATTAGGCCGCAGTTTCATTAGCGGTGCCGTCGCAATCGCTCCTAGGTCATCTAATCAATGGAATTGGCAGACAAAGGTCAGCTCACTCTGGCCCTCATGCGTATGTGTGCGTCTGTGTCGATTGCTCGGACAGGACGTTGTTCTGGCGCGCGTCGGCCAGCATGTAGGTTCGGGTTGGGGAAACAATGAGGGAGGTGTGCCGAAGGGCCGTGTAACCCTCTACGATGACTACGGCGACTACGACGACTACGACGACGACGACGACGACGACTACGACGACGACGACGACGACGCTCTATTCACCGAGAGACTGTCGTGATAATGACAGGTCCACTCGCACGCGCGCACGCGCGACGTGTCGCCCGACCACCACGCCCTCGGTTCTAATGAGCCTCGTGCTGCTGCTGGCTGCGCGTTAACGCACTTTGACACCCTCCATTTTCGCAACGTATTACAGTATCCGCGTGAGCCGGAGTAGCCCTTATATTTACTGACGAATCAATCTCAGTTGTATACTCCTACTTGTCGATCGATCAGATAAATTGTATCTGCAGCTTCACTGTTTAGAAGATGACGTGGTACTTTCTCTCTCTCTCGCCATAAATAATTACACATGAGCAGAGATAGCGAAAGCGTGAGAAATCGTCCGCAGTGCGGCGTTTCATTTCTACTTTCGCGTAATAACGGCTCCTGAAAAAGTACTTTCGCGCGGAGAATTCAATTACCGATTGTGTCGCCACCGCAGAGAGATTGCAAGTTGGGATTTTTTTTTCTTTTTAAGAAGAAGAAGACCCATTATCGGCAATAACGGCACATTAGAGGATTTTAAGACTGAAAATTGAATAACCTCTGTCTCTCGCGCGCGGAAAGAGGGCGATGATGGTAACGAGTTTATGCCCTCTTGGCGAAAATACCTGCAGCTAATATCCACGTGGGGTTGACAGATGAAATGAAGACACTGACGCTGGCTGACGGGTCGCGTCTCATCGCGCGTTACCAACACGTCTCTCAATTTTTTTTATATCTTGCGTTTATTGCTTTTGGTGCTGAAAATATTGCTCCCCAAGAAGGCTCCGCTGTGCAACGAATAGATTGCTGATAATGACAACAATGACAGTTATGCGTTAGATACGTAGCAGCTTATCGGAAGAGTGTGTTAATCGCGAAAGCTTGAGCGTCTATGAGGGAGCCTAATGATTTTTTGACTTGAAAAATGTAAGGTCCTTAATGAAAAGTGATACGATGAGCATCGACCGATCAAAAACACATTGAAGGCAGGAGTCACGTAGAGCGCAAGAGCTGGCTGTATATACGGCCCGTGAGCGTTGAGCGTACTCCCTGACGCGTCAGTGCTACAAGGCCGAGATTCTCTCTCTCTCTCTCTCTCTCTCTCTCTCTCTCTCTCTCTCTCTCGCTGGTTGGTGATGACGAGGCGCGATCGTCGTCCGATCCCACGCCTCGCTCGTTAGCCAGACTCAGCAGTCGGCTCGTCATCGGCGTGTCATTCGAAAATGGCAGGATCACGTCTTGGGGGACGCGCGACGCTACCACGCCTCTGCTCTGCTCTACCTGACACAGCATCAAGCGTTTTCATGTCGATTCTCTCAATTTCAAAATTGACGCGTCTCTCGCCGCGCGTAATTGATTTTTCACTTTGATGAAGCTCATTTCCTTATACCCCCTTCAATCGCTTCCTCTCTTTCTCCCTCGCACCATGTGTTTTCAGTGCTCGCTTCGAGTTTTATCGCCAGTTTGGGCATGGACAGAAAACGAAGCCGACCCTTCGAATGGGTTAATTTCGTCAGACGCAGGCAGCTAACCCACCCTCCAATTGTGCTTTTAGTCATCTGCCTTGGAATGATGTCAATATATAAAGTTTAGCTGTAATTGAATCTTATACTTTGACTTACTACACGGACGAGAGAGAGCCGTTAGATATAAATTAATTGTTGCCAAATTACAACTTTTACGTACATTTTAGCCACTTCAATGTTTATCCACGAAAATGTCTAGTCGATAACATTTGAATTCGGCTGAAAGTTATCGGCAAAACTTTCCGAAATTCGGGGCTAATATCGGAGAAAAGTCCGAAAAAAGAAGCGGGCACAGTTGTCGCTCTCACCCCATCGATGGAAAAGCACGAGCGAGTAAGTCCGGGGGTCGCTAGAAAGAGAGAGAGAGCGAGAGAGAGAGAGAGAGAGAGAGAGAGAGAGAGAGAGAGAGAGAGAGAGAGATAGAGTGAGAGAAAACGAGCCGCCAGCAGCACTTAAGACTATTGTTTTCAATGTAATTGGATAGCTCGTGCTCTTTCTCTTGCTGGCCGTCGCTCCCTTCGCCTTACGCCCAAGCTTCGACAATTATCTTGATTGTTTTATGCATATACCAGCGCGACCCCAGAGAATGATAGACGACGTTTCTCCATTTCTGCAATTCAGTAGCCACAACTCTCTCTCCGTTGGCTAATTTTACTTCACCTGCGTACACGCCTTTGTTTTTTTCTTTCTCCTGACTTTCGCACACAAAATAGAGTGAATACGTTAAGATAAGACGTCTTCTCCTTAATTAAAAATTGAAAAGAAAAATTGTCTTCCGTCATCGATTGTGGTAAACCGGAAAATGTGCTGTTGGCGATCCTGCCGTGCGCTAATTATGTAAAAATATGACTCGAGCACACACGGTTCTTTTATGTCCGGCTAGCCACACCGCTCGTTTTTTACGCTTTTTATTAACGTTACGTGCACTTTCTGCCGCCCGTCATTGTGCGCGCCATTCTGTCTCCGCGCGTTTTTCAAAAGCTACAGCTTTTTTTTCGGTCGTACTGTCGCTAGTCTCTCTCGCGTTTATTTTTTTTTTTTTTTTTTTGATAGTAATGAACAGAAGGCGCGAGCGTGACGTTATTTCGCTGCTGTTTTTATTTATGACTGCTTGAATGAGCTTTTGAGCATTTTTTTCTGGTTTTGTATAGCTTTTTGTTTGGTTAAAAAAAAGTTACATTCCACAGCGCCTAGTCACTACTCTTCATGAATGTAATATCGACGTGCGGCGAAAAAAATTGATATTCCTCCATTTCGCACGGAATTTCGTGAGTTGTACAGAATTAAAAAAACGAAAGAGAAAAATTGAGTCCCTCTAACACTCCGTCCCTAAGCGAAGGGACGTAGGACATGGCGCATCTGCACAGATGTGAACGCCGATATAAAACGCGCGTTCTCCGAACATCCTCTCTATCGTACTTTTTTTCAGCACCCTCCGCTCGCTCCTGTTATTCCTTTTTTTCCTTTTTTTGCTCGTTCAGCAATAAATAATATTTCGCAGGTGTGCTCGCGCCAGCGCGTAATGCCTCTCTCTCTCCTCGAACTAGCGTCGCGCTGAGCGCTGGCACAGGCTGCATCGAATTTTTAGTCTGCTGCAGCAACGTAGAGCCGAGCCCTCTCTTGCGCGGTCGTTATTATTTTCAATTAAAGTTGCGCGAATTTATGGCAGTATGTTTTAATTGCCGTATCCTTTGTTTTTTTTCCAGCATCCATACCCATCGGAAGACCAGAAGAAACAGCTGGCACAGGACACGGGGTTAACGATTCTTCAAGTCAACAATTGGTGAGTAGCCACGTAGCTTTCATAAATATATTTCGAACTGACAGGCTCTTGCCAAGTGTGGACACAGGCAGCGGGATCAACATAGGAGAAGTGGTTTTTTTCATACTTGCGATACAACGGCGTGTAGACGTAACCACTGCGCTTTATGCTGCTAATCTCGACAGCGGGGATAAGTGCCTCTTTGGATTTCCGCGCGTTACGTCTGTGGTTTTACGATTTTCGTATCTGGGCCGCGACGATTTCGTCGACAGGCCGCCTTGCGAGCAGGCGCGCACGCAGCGTGGCGTACGTACCCTCTCGATTGCTTTACGAACCGAAAAACACGTGTTATCGCAGCTTCATATGCCGTCGCTCGGAACGAACCTAGATTTTCGCATGGGCCGCTTGACCCTCTCTGCACGTTTATTTTCATGACGTTCGTGCAGGCCGCCTTCATCGGCGTGCGAACTGAAAATTTGAGGCTCGCTCCGCGACCTTATCCCCCGATCACCTTTTACTTTTCTTGTACGAGAGCTTCAGAGCGCGTAATCCGGAATCCATACTGCTGTGAGTGTTTAATCCGCTCGTCGATCGGGAAAGGGTTAAGACCGTGGAAAGCGTCTTTGCTTGCTTGTCGAGGGTTAATCCCTTCTCGCTCGGATGTCGAGGGGCGGCAGCGTGCGACACTCCGCCTTCAAAGCCGATCCTCCAGAGAGAGAGAGAGAGAGAGAGAGAGGCTCGGCGCACTATCTTATCATCTTGATGAATGTTTTCGCCCGACACCTGCGCCACCGAATTTCCCTGTGTAAAGCTTTGTCCTTTCTCTCTCTCTCTCTCTTTCTTTTGTTGTGTTTTCGTGCAGGCGACTCCTTGTTTCGCTTTTATCTTGCGTTTACCCTCGGCATTTTAATTAAAATATTTCCTACAGCGGGATTTTCAATCAAGTCGATTTGTTCCCCTTCTCTTCCACGACAGTTAGGCACTTTTGTAACATTCCGTTTTTATTTCTCTCTGCTCGCTGCGGTCTTGAGGTTGGAAACATAATGTCCGTGTATCGCGATGAGAGAGCTGGATAACATCCATCATAATTTCCGATGGTTATCGCATCCGTTGCCCTGTAGCTCGCACGCTCGACTCATTCTCTCTCTTGAGTTTTCACGGCTCATCGGACGCGCTTGCAGCCCGGTTTGTCCTGCGCATGGGCGCGCAATCCCTTCGGCTAACTTTAGCAACGCGCGCGCAGAGATCGAAATAATCCGGGCGCTCGCGGAGCGTGAATCAGAGCCACGACGCCGGAGAAAGAGTGTCTATATGCGGGCGGGTTCGCGCTCAGTCCGCGCGGGCGCGTCACGTGCATTATAAATAAAATGGTCGTCGCGACGTATATGAGGCCTCGCTCGGTACTCGTAATTGAGCACAAATCAAGTTTAAGGAGACCCGCCGCTCTCCACGCACTGCCAAGTCAACATCCTCCGGCTCGCGGCTTTATCTCGCTCGAAGATCGTGTCGCTTTGTGCCAAGATCGTGTCTGCGCGTAGGTCGTGTATTTTCGCCCTTTTCACCCGCTCCTCTTATTTTTATTCCGCTGAAGATGTGCTCTCTATCTCGGGGATGCGATCAAAGCTGTGTATATATTTTTTCGACTTGTTTACGGCGTGGGCTCTCTGGCCTCTCGTGCCGAGCGCACGCGCGAACCCTTTGATCGGCGGGCACGCGTACGAATTCCCAAACAATTATGCTGAAAATGGCGCCGCAATTTTTCCGTCGTAAACCGCTTTGCCTCGGCGCGCGGCGGTCCCGGGCACATAAATCACAGGTAGAAAAATTCGTCCGCGAGGCGAAGCCGTAAGAAAAGCACGGCTGCGAGTGGCCACTAAAAAGAGGTTAATGTCGCGCGCCGCGCGTCCGTTATTGCTGGCAATTTTCGCGCGTGTATCGCTCCGGCTGCGGAGGACTCGTGTTTCCGTAATGCAATTAGATCCGTCTCCGCCACCTTCGTTTTGCCTCGTTTTGCCTCGTTTTGCCTCGTTTTGCCTCGTTTTGCCTCGTTTCGCCCATCTCTTGTCCTTTTGCGAAGGCTGCGTGCCCCCGCGCTCGACTAAGCCTCGCGACGGCTTCCAAATAGCCGCTCTAATTAGAATAGCGACCAAGAACAGCCAAGCTTCTGCCGTTTGACTTTGCATTTGTATGCCCAGGCAAATGAAATGATTCGCCTATAAACAACCGAGGTTAAATGCCCGCACGGCTGTAAACAGCGCAATTAGACCTTTACCCGGTAAGACTCGCGTACGCACCGCGAATCCGCCAGAGTCCTTGAAAGTGCATTAGAATAAACGTTAATGCGAACGATGCGGCGGCCGTCGGAGTTATCTCGCTCGAGCGCCTACGTGATCGTAAATTATTTTCAAATAATTTTCGAAGGTGAAACGACTACGCGGACGAAAGCGCAGCACGCGCTCGCGCTGATCTCGAGTGGATGATAAGTGTACGCATGCACGAAGGCGCGGCGGCAGCGTGCTCTCACCCACAATTTTCCGTCACGTATATCTTGGGCTCGCGCTGGCTAGGACAGTAGTTGGGACGCTTGGCAGCTTGTTAACGCGAGCAGCGCGCTCGCGTGTGCAGATAGCGGCGGCGCATCGCGGAAAATCGCCGACAACTCACACGTGTGATCTGCATGCGCGATATGGTAAAGGGCCACGAGACTCTTCTCCGTGTCTCTGACAAACTGCTACTCGCGGTCGGCCGGTCGCTCGCCCGCTCGGTCGCCCGCTCGGTCGCCCGCTCGGTCGCCCGCTCGGTTTCTTCGATTTTGCGCGCTGCGAGCCCTCTGCATGAATCATCGCTGCCGATCTTTATCCGCGGGCTCGGCCAATTGAATGCCCACCTCCCTGGAATTCGCTCGATGAATCTGCTTTTGTTCGATCTGCAGAGTTGGATCCCGAATTTTTCTCGGCGACGAACGTTCGTCGCCGGGCCCACCTCCGTCTCGCCTGACGATGCAAATGCTGCTTCTAATATTCCGCGGCTAATTCACCAAGGAGGAAGGAGGCGCCTGTCGTGCCGCATACCGCGCTAATAAAGCAGAGCTGATTTATCGAGTCGCGAGCCAGTCAGTTGGGACCACATATATTTCGGCCTACTTATCTTCATCTGCGCATCTCTTTATCCGTCGGCGAGCCTTGAAACTTCGCAGTTCACTTCGAGATGATTTTATTTGCCGTACGTGTGCGAGTGTGTTGCTCGCTTAATCAAGCTTGAAATTTATCGATGAAGAAGATGGGAGGGGACAATTAGCGTAATTCCGGCGCCGGTGATGTAGAGGCGTTAAATATTTCGCCGCTAATTCGCCTCTGGCAGCTGCTATGCCTTCTTGCACTTCCACGTCTCTTGTCTTTTTCTTCCTCCTCCTCCTCCTCCTCCTCCTCCTTCTGCTCCTCTTCTTCTTCTCTTTTTCTCTTTCTTGCGCATCGCCATTCTGATAATGATGATGCTCTCTCCATGCACTTCCGCGTTATTCCTCAAGACAGCTTGCGCTCCTGTGCTTCAGTGCACCGGATAATTATTTGATCTACTGCTATTGAAATTAATTTTCATAATACACCACGCGCGACATATGCTCTCTCTCTCATTATTAAAACTTTTTTCTTTTTTACGATAATTCAGTTTCTCAAGATAGCAATTACGTTTCCAAATTGATAATACTAGTATTTTAGAATCCGAGCAGGCTGTTATTTTGCGCAAAATATCGTTCCATATTTTGCGCCGCGTAAAATGGCGCTCGTAAAGTGTACATCGTAAGATGACGTCTCTTATCGACCAGATAAAGAATTTGCAAATAGAACTCTGATAAGCGCTGTCGGCGATAAAAAAAAGCAAAAAACAATCGTCGGTCGGTCTAGATTCCATCCGACACACGCGTATACATTGTGCAGACGCTCACGTCGGCACCGAAGAGAGAAAGAGAGAGAAACAAATTGGCGGCGGGACGACGAGAGAAGACGTTTCTTAATGATGGCCTGCTTTTGCAATTAGCCAAGCAAAAAGGGATTCTCCGGCGAGGCGCAGTAGGGCCCGAAGCCAGCCAGGGGCAGAGAGATAATAAAAATTATGATCGGCATAAAGGCCTCGAGACAGAGCAGCGTTAAGGACCAAATGGAAATACCGGTTCTTTCTTCTGTCTCTCGTAAGCTCGCGCGCGATCGCAAGTGCATACACGGACACTGTTGCTCTTGTTCGCCGTCGACGGTTCGACGACGTCGTCGGAGGAAAGCGGAGCGCGTTACAAGATCGTTAAGGAGGCCGCGCGAGCGTAATTTAGACCGTTGTAAAGCGCTAACGAGACATTTCGTTTTACAAAATCGGTCGGCACCAGCCGTAAATTCCAACGGAGAAGCCGCGACCGGATGTTAATACTCTCTCCTTTCTCTCGCTTGTACACACACGCGCACACACGTTTTGCTCGCTAGTAGTAGTCGTTACGCGCGTGTCACGAGTCGAGACTCGAGAGGCGGACAACCCTCCGCCCTCTCTCTCTCTCTTTCTCTCTCTCTCTCTCTCCGTTTAAGATCACACACGCGTAATTTTGCGAAGGCTGCAAGCGCCACCATGATGAAATTATTTATGGAATTTAGACGTGGCGCGAGTTGCTACTCTCGCCGAAAAATAGTGTATCCGCGCGCGACTGTTTTGTACAAAATAGAATCGCAAGAGCGTTTAGACGTGCCGCGTGATATTCCTGGGTTAACGAATGTACACTTAGACAGTTGGTATAACTCGTCGTTGAATTTCGCATTGCAAAATCTATTTCTGGAAGGCACCTACGTGCATAACAAGTCGAAATTTCGCATGCACAAGGTCCTTAGCAGGAGTGAACGATTTATTGCTATTAAAAGATTATCGCGGCGCGCAAGGGTATATACCGTCAGAGCGAGCGAGCGAGCGAGCGAGAACGTGCGGACAGTGACGGAGCGCACGCCTCGGCGCGGCGGCCCAATATCTCGCCGAGTTCATCTGGAATC